AAGCTGCCATTCATATTTTTATTCCTCAATTCAAAACGGGGGAACGTTTTGAGCCTGGCTTCCTGTTTTGGCTCCCCCAATCTCCAGTTCCCCCTCCCCCCCAGCACGCCCTAGCTTTCTCCTGCATTTCTACCGCCCATGCCTTCCCCGATCTCCGCATGTCTCTGTGTGTCCCCCCCCCCCAGTGCGCCCTATCTTTCTCCCCCATTTCTGCCACGGAGAAGCACTTGCGGAAAAGGGAACTGCGGGAAAGGCACGGGCAGCAGAAAGGTAGGGCATGCTGGGGGGGTGGGGGTGGGGGTGGGTTGTAACTGTGGAGAACAGGAAAGGCCCTACCCACTATGCATGCCAGAAGACCAGCTGGGCGGCGGGAGGCACACACATATACGAGATGGAACCGGGCTGGGCCGGCGGCTGGCATGCCCGCAGAGAGGGCACTGCTTGCCACCTGTGCCATACGTTCGCCATATAGAGTTTAACCAATTAATTTGTAAAGAGCTTCCAAGAATGCAGAAATGTTTTAGAAGTTATGTAGTCTTGTGCTGGAGCAACTTACAATCACGAAAGTTTTTCCAGATATGGATGATGTCTTATCTTATGTAAACGGCTGCCTTGAGCATAAAGAATCTCTTTAATAATCTAGGGAAAAGCACTTGGAAAACCTAATTCGCTTTTCTGAAAAAGACTCAATTATAACTATGATAACATGACAGAAACAGGAATTCTTTTAATGTGATTTAAATTGTACTTACATATTGCTTGGATAATCATTGTATCAACTTTGTCTGGGCTGAATTTCAATTTATATCGTGAGAGGCTAAAATAAAACACACCAAAGAAATTATTTTCTATACAAGCTGGTGACAACACTAATGAAAGTTCATATTAATTCATTGTTAGCATTCCCTGTATTGGAAGCTTAACATAAAGCATGCTGCATAAATCAAAAGGGTATGGAATCCTGGCATAGCTAACTTTTACTAAATCCAACTAACTTGTGAAGGATTGTTGCTAGTGCATCAGATGTACCTGTGCAAAGGCACTCACCACCAGTTTACTATTTACAAATACTGTTGCAGCTGGGACTCATGAACCACTCCAAGGCCGCTGACTGCTCTGTCTAGAGGAGGGCAAGCTCACCTGAAATAAGATCCACCTGGATCCAGGTGCTTCAAATGAGCTTCCTCTTTTCCAAGATCACAACCATCTGACTGGATTTACTTTTATCTTTGCTGTTCCTCATTCAGCCTGTTATATTTAAGTAAGTCAACGGCTTCCTTGGAATATGATGGAATCAAATACAACCAAGAAATCTAAAAGAACTTTCAATTAGCAAAATGCTAATTGAAATGGGTTTAGATCAGGGCTGTCAAATTCCCTGCCCCTGGGCTGGATGCGTCACATGCTAACTACACACCTGCCTGGTTTAGCAAAGGGGGGGAAAGTCCCAATATGTCATGTGACACTGCCATGACGACATGAGTTTGACACACACACACACCCGTCTACAATAATCAGTTCTACTAAAATGCATCTGGAGCTATGAGACTACCAACTTCTTAGTCACCTTAACTAGATTACAGAGTGTTGTATAAGTACAAAAATCTTCCAGGTTCATGGAGATGAGATTTTTGATTGTAGTCATACAACTTTCTCCTTTTGGGAAAACATCCCTCACTCCAGAATATATGAACTGCCTCTCATATCCATGAGAATATCTTAATCAGTCAGGCATGTACAGCAAGACAGTAGGTGGCAACTTTCATCTCTTCATATATTCGTTCACATCCTTGAGGTATACTAGCTGAAAAGAATCCCTGTCAACATGGATACTTTCATCTTGAATCCAAATGATTAATCCAATTAATTACAGTTATTTTGTGTTGTGGATGAGATCTAATATACTAGAGCAGTGTTTCTCAACCTTGGCAACTTGAAGATGTCCGGACTTCAACTCCCAGAATTCCCC